TTTTTTTTTTTTTTTTTCCGGGTGTTTGGGTAGTGCAATATACATGCAGACGGACTACAAAGGGAGATACCATTGCCAACGAATGTAGAGGCCTTAATAAATACAAGAAGGCTTTGGGGGTGCCTTCTGATAATTATATAGGTATAATCTACCCCAAACCATATTCTAATTCTTAAGCCCCCTATATTCGTCAGCCCTCTGCTGCCAGAATCGGCACATCTTCTGGTGTAGGAAAGGCGCATGAACGGCCGCAGGTCCTTGCGACCTGTCGCGCCAGAGTGAAAGTCACTCTACTCCTTGGGGGCCGACTGACCCTTCTATGTAGGGGCCCTATACCCTTCTAGTATGAATCCCTATATGGTATATGGGGGTTTCCGAAAATAGGGGACCCTAACATAGTACCCTAAATAGTAGGATCCTTGTATGGAACCCCCTAAAATAAGCTACTCCCATTTTCGGAAACTCCAATAGGAACCCTAAACGCTTTTAGGGTATCGTTTCATCCTAAAGGCCTGGCTCCAGCCGGTGGATGGTTGGGGTTTGGGCCTTTAGGGGTTAGGGCTTTACGGTTTCAGGGTTACAGGTTTAGGGTTTAGGGATTTAGGGTTTAGGGTTTAGGGTTTAAGGTTTAGGGTTTAGGGTGTTAATTTATCCTATGTGGGCGACTGGCAGGCACCGGCGAGATAGGCATACGATCAAGTCTCACCCCCAACCCTAAACCCTGAGATCTTACCTAGACCCCCGAACTACCCTCTAATATACACTAAATATCCACCATTAAGGACCATACGGGGTCTATTAAAGGCCATTTGGGGGTCCTGGTACACCCCCCTCTTTTGCCCTTGCTTCGCAGGCTGGCCAAGGCTCATGCCGGGGTTTAGGGTTTAGGGTCGAGGTTTCTGGTAATCGACAGCTTTCAGTCTCTGAGAGGGTTTAGGGTTTAGGGGTTTAGGGTTTAGGGTTTAGGGCTTAGGGTTTAGGGTTTAGGGTGCCAGCAACTCAGCACTTGCTGTCGTTGGCCCGTTCAACCGCTACCAGCTCCCCACCGTTCTTAACACGGCTGGAACCCTGGCGGTTGCCTCGCAAGGTAAGTGCCGAAGTCTCGACACGAGTATCCTCCATAACTGCAAGGCCTGCCAAGCCGCTCCCTTCGACCACCACGTCTGAGATAGAAGCCTCGACGTTGTTTCGCGCCAGAATTCCGTCAAAAGGCCCAGGTATCGCATCATTATCTCCCAGAAAGAGGCCGTTGCCAGTGAAGACGCTGCAGGAGCAGCGAGCTTGCAGCGGCTCGTCGCCGATTATCGGCCCAAAGAGCACCGCTCCCTGTCGAGCGCAGTCGTGCACCCGACATCTTCGCAGCGAGAGTCGGCCCCCTTCAGCAGCCACTCCGGCACCCGTCGAGGATGTAACATCGCAGTCCTCCAGTGAAAGGTCTCCTCCCGAAGAAAAGATTGCCTGGGTGTAAGAAGTAGCAAAGGAGAAAAAACATATCGACGTTTATTTCACAAGGGTTCCTTTAAGGAATAATTAGGTCCCCCCAAACCCTAAACCCTAAACCCTAAAACCCTAAACCTACGGTTTAGTGGCACCTCAGAACTCAGAACCCAGCTGCGTAGTTGTTGGCCACGCTCTTCCCTGCGTGCTTGATGTTGAAACCTCGGACTGTCGCTTGGGATCCCTGCTCCGCCGTCAAAACGGCCTCCGGGTTTAGGGTTTAGGGTTTTAGGGTTTAGGGTTTTGGGTTTTGGGGTTTAAGGTTTAGGATTTAGGGTTTAGCTTTAGGGTTTAGGGTTTTTAATTCGGGTTTAGGGTTTAGGATTTAGGGTTTAGGGCTTAGGGTTTTAGGGTTTAGGGTTTAGGGTCTCGGGTTTAGGGTTTAGGGTTTAGGATTTAGGGTTTAGGGTTTAGGAGGCCTCGTAAGGCTTCTCGGACTCCCAGATCAGCGTCGTGGACCCCGGCTTCTGCGCTTCGAGCGTCAGGCTCGGGCCACGGGGAATGAGAAGCCGCTCTCGGTAGGTGCCTTAGCCACAGGATCAGGGGACTTGGTAAGTAGGCTTATGTTGAAAATGTAACCTAGAATCAAGAGCACTTAAAAACCATCACCCAAACCCCTAAACCCTAAACCCCTAAACCCTAAACTCTAAACCCCTAAACCCTAAATAAGCACCATACTTGTAAGGACCCAGGAACCTTCAAGTACCGTCACCACAGCAGCCTTACAGTCCTTGGGCACGGCTTTCAGGGCCTCGGCCACCGTCGCAAAGCCGTCGCTTCCCACCTGAGCCGTCCAGGACTCTTCCGCTGAGGCCCCGGTCGTCTCCAAGGCCACGGTCGTCAGAGTCCCCAGCCTGGGCTCTTCCCCAAGGGTCCAAAGGACCCAATAATCAGGTACTTAGGTTAGGGGTTTAGGGTTTAGGGTTTAGGATTTAGGGTTTAGGGTTTAGGGTTTAGGGCTCTTCCCCAAGGGTCCAAAGGACCCAATATAATAGGGTACTTAGGTTTCGGATAGTAGCCATGTAGGTTACTATTTGTGAGAGTATATGATTATTAGGTACTTGGACCCTTAGGGTTGTTAAGGAACTGCACTTATTAAGCTACCATCATAAGGAAATCACATTAAATGGTTCACTATAGGATCACTTTTTTGCTAACTTGAAAGCTGCCAAAATAAGGAAACCATATTCGCTATCTACTATAGGTCCCTTTTTTTGTAACCTATATTAACTTATATCAGTTCCTTAACAAGAACCCAGCAGCGCCAAAGCCCTGCGCGATGCAGAGACAGGGATGTCCCGAGGCACTGCAAGAAAAGAGGCGGAATCCCCCAAGACGGTAGCAGCAACTGCCAGCGAGACCATGGCAACCATTGCCCTCCCTGAGCCTCGAGGCCTCAATCGTGGAATCACGGGCCCCGCTGATGTCCCTGCGGCCATGGCAGACTTCATCAAACGTCGTGCGAAACGGGGCCTGACTCTTGCGATACCATAACTAAGGATTGCTGTAAAGATACTGCTATAAGGGTACCATAAGATCGTATTTACGGGTGCGATAAAAGATGCTAGTTACTATAAGGGGTACGTAGGGGTACCCGAAAGGGTACCAGTATCAGGGTACCAAAAAGGGTGTTGAATCGTTGCCGAACCTGGTTTTCCTGCAACACACTGCTCATGCGTTCGTCTTCCGTGTTTCATCAAGGCCACGTTCGAGCAAGATACGCTGCCGAAGATGATATCTTCTACGAAGTATAAAAGCCCAATGCAACATCAGAAGTGTCACGGAGCCTCCATTGGAGCACAACGAAAACTGCTCTAAATCTCCATATATCTTTTTAAGCTCCATATTCTAAAAACTGCCTAAGGCACACACATATGCCATAATGTTTTGGGGCCCATTATACTATAATGATAACAGAGAACCCCAAAAACCCTATTCTAATTATTCAGGCCCCTATATTATTGGGACTGCCATGGCTCCGAGAAGCCTCACGGCCGCAGGCGTTAACGGCCGAGACGCCGCCCCAACTGCTTTTCAAAGCCCTACCCATAGGCCCCATAGTAGTTCCTTTCTGGGATTACCTTATAGGATCCTAAATATACCCCACAAGAAGGAACTACTATGGGGCCTATGGGTAGAGCCCAACAGCCCTAAAGGATTCGGAAGTCCGAGGCCTACCACAAGCCCCAGCCGTCAAAGTTTTATCGAACCCTAAACCCTAAACCCTAAATCGAGTTTAGGATTTAGCCCTCAGCCCTCAGCCCGAAACCCCAGTGAAGGATAAGTGTGCCTGCTTGATGCATGGGTTTTTCTTTGGGGTTTAGGGTTTAGGGTTTTCCTTCATGAAAGACAGGTTCTTTTTTGTTTTGAGGGCCTGTTGGATGTCCGCCGGGGGGTTTAGGGTTTCGGGTTCATTGTTTTGGGTTTTGGCTCTGGGACCCCAGAGAACCCTTAATTCAAGAATATACCTGAAATCATAATATTAAGGTCCCTATACTTTCAGGTATATCCTTTAATTAGGGGGTATTCCAGCACCCCCAACTACCCTCTATTATACCCCAAATACCCATTATTAAGGACCATAAGGGCTCTATTAAAGGGCACTTGGGGGGTGCTGGTTGGGACCCTAAACCCCTAAACCCTAAACCCTAAACCCTAAACCCTAAACGGTTCTCTGGGACCTTACACTTCGGAGCGGAGGTCTGCGTCTTCAAAGAGGCGACTCCGAAAATGGTGCACCCTCAAAGCCCGCCCAAAGCGCTCCACCAAGAAGGGTTTAATGTAGGGGCCTTAATAATTAGAATAGGGTTTTGGGCACCTTTATCGTATATTTCATAATAAGAAACCTTAACAGAAATATTGGTAATTATTTAGGCTTCTATATTAGGGTTTAGGGCACTAAACTACGGCATCTGAAAAGATGCCGTAGCTTAGTGCCCTAAACCCTAAACCCTTGTTTGTGGAGCGCCTTAAACACTACTGCTTAAACCATACGTGGCCGAAGAACGAACCCTTGATGGTCCACCCAAAGCAAAGCGAGTCAGGAGGACCTCCACTTGCCGAAGCAAAGACAAACAGCGAGTTCGTCGCCACCAGAAAGAGCGTTTAAGGCTTCCGGCTTCGGAATCCCGAGGTTCAAGGTTTAGGGTTTAGGGTTTAGGGTTTAGGGTGAAATCCACGTAACGTCTTCACGCTGAGGGTTAGACTCCGACCCTGAAGGCGGCGTGTTGCTTGTCTCCCCATCCTACCCTGAACCCTAGACCCGAAACCCTAAACCCTAAAACCCTAAAACCCTGAAACCCAAAACCCAAAACCCTACACCCTGAAACCCTAAAACCCTAAACCCTAAAACCCAAGCTTCCCACCCTGGGGGCCCTGAAACCGGTCCTGGGAGCCCAGGTGACTTTTTGTTGAAAGGATTTCTGCTCCGGTTTAGGGTTTAGGGTTTTAGGGTTCAGGGTTTTAGGGTTTAGGGTTTAGGGTTTAGGGTTTAAGGTTTAGGGAGCCCCTGAAAGCCTCACCCGGATATATCCATAACCCAGCAATCTAACGGGCATCTGCGCTGAAAAGTTCGGACTCTCGAAGTTCCCAACTTCGGAAAGCCGGGGTGCCTGAAAAGGGGACCGCGTAAGTCGTTTAGGGTTTAGGGTTTAGGGTTTAGGGCAGCTCACAAAAGGGGATCCAGAAACCCTGACAGCGATCCCGACTGCCTGAAGGCCGCCATCTGGAAGTAGGCCGCAATGAGCACAGTGATCGCAATGAAGTACACATCAGCCACCGGCTTGCTTACAACTGTATTGACCTCTCCGAAGGCAATTCCAAGAGAACTCCGGTTCTAGCCAGCCATAAAAAGATGGACAGACAGTCTCGAGTCTTGCTGGACCCGCATCACATTCCGCAGAGACCCGCAAGTCTAAACCTTTAACCTTAAATCCTCATTCCTGCAGACAAACCGTGAACTAAGCCCTGGCCTGCACAGCCGCCAGCACGAAGAAGCCCGTCGCCCAAAGGTAGAAACTCAGGGTGGCCAGCCTTATATGGGGGCTTTCATAATTAGAATGGGTTTTGTGGTATGTTATACACAAAGTGTATAGTAGGGAAACCAAGGGAATAATGTTGGTAATTGCTGTGTCCTTGTATGAAGGGCCCTATCATTTTGTGCTCTCTCGCTCTCCCTCGTGTGCTTGCTCTCCCCGTCGCTCCCTCCCTCTCTGTCTCTCTCTCTCTCTCTCTCACTCTCTCTCTCTCTCACTCACTCTCTCGATCTATCTATCCTTCTACATAGATAGATGGATAGATCGATCGATAAGTGTGGGTGTGTGTATATACATATATATATATATATGTATAGATCGGTGTATATATATATATAAATACATATATATATATGTGCCCGATACCTT